AACCAGGTCAACTCTATCCTCAAAATATATTTCAAGTCGAGCCAGATCCACCGATAACTGTGTTAACAACCACTTAACTGAATCTCCTATTTGTCTTATTCCTATCTTATAGTCTGTTTATCACAGAGCAGCTTCAATGAACACTCTAAAATATTTTTGAATGAATTAAAATATTATTTAAATTAACTTTTTATCACTTTAACATGTAGTGTTTATCCTGGGTTACATATAGACCTAAAACCAAAAGAAACATTAAAATTTAAACATTACGGTGCCTTGCCTACCATTTAGTTTAGATTCAACTGAATATTTAGACATTTAGCCACTATAGGCCACCCTTGGCACAGTGTACTCAGCAAGACAAGAGCCTTAGCTTACTGCAGGGCAGTGTCAGGTGGTTAGCTTCTGTAGGAGACTTTGTGGTAGTCCCACGTCACAGTTCACCCAGTAGTCAGGAGACTCTTCTTTTACCCACCAGATGAAGGCTCAAGTGTATGGAGGTAAGATCCACATAGCAGGGATACAGGCATTGCTCTGGCTTAGAAGCTTTAATCCCCCACAAACAAATAGGTCTTGGAACAGTCAACAGGCATAGTTTCTAGAATTCCCACACATTATAAGGCCAGTTATAAGAATGATTGCATTCAGGTAATTGAAAGCAATGTTGTCCCCATCAGGTATTTATACTTCTTTCAAACCAGACAGATGCTATTTATCAATCAGTGGTCATTGTTACAATAAGTAATAATAGTTGCTTATAATAACATGGTTAAAATACCATTTTAGAATTGCCAGAGAAAGTCTGGGAAGTTAACCAAAGGTCAAATTTTCATGGAAAAGGTTTGTTAGCTCTTACTCACTGTAGGAATTTGTTAATCAGCTTCAGATTTGACTTTAAATGTAAAAATGATTCTATAAGTAATAGAGGGCAAATATTTAACCACCATACATAACATATTTTTATTTCCTCTGCCCAGCATGCTTTTTAAGAGAACATTTATCATACTCCTAAAATTGAGACAAAGGAGGTAGGACATATGAATAGATGACAGGGCTGATTCTGAAATCCTCCCCTCCAGCCTCTGGACCAAGCTGGACCAGCCAGTCCTGGCTTCACCTGGGACTCTGATACCTTACATATGGTCCAGACATAGCCATAGGCATAAGCAACATTAGATTTCTATTTTATTTTTGCATGAGGGAGAAAACCTAGCTAATACAAGGCAGCAAAATCACCCAGAATCTTTCTTGTGCCTATTCAGTCTGGTCTTCAAATGACATAGTAAAAGAGAAAAAGAAATGTCATTGAAAATTTGACGCTTTAGCAATCTGCTTTGCTACTATTGGGAACACTGGCAGGCGAGCACCTAGTATCCCCTAAACAGTATAGAGTGTTCTTGGTAAAAAGTTGTCAGTATTGCAAACATCTTTGAAAACAACATTTCTATTATCTAATTTCTTAGGGCTGGGGAATGAAGGATCAGAATGGAAACTTCCTAGATAAAAGGAATATTTGTGGGAAAATATTGCAAGAATGTATTCTATAATATGCTACGAATACTGTCTAGAAGTATTTTCTACTAGTTTGATGATTGATTCTGAGATTATGAAGGACAGAAGTTTCAATGGCATCCTACAGAATTTGGCTAAAAATTTTTCAAGCTTCAGAGCTATAGGAGCTGTGAGAAAATGCTGATTCCTCTGAAGTCTCAATTATCATTCAGAAGAAAACTGAGGCCAGTTTTTTCCTGCTCTAGAACCAGAACCAAGCTGTCCTCTATCCCAGGATAAAGTACCTTTCCTCCCATTGCTTAACTATGGCACCTCTTCCTCCTCTTTGCCCAGAAGCTTTTCTGTGAGAACACCAGACATACAAAAGGGGTAGAAAATATGAGTATTTTGCAATTAAATCATGTTGTATGATAATGGAATATTATTTCATTTCTATAATATAATGATTTTAGAAATGTTCCTTATTAATTTCTTATATCAGCTTTTTTGAAATAAGATACAATTTCTTACCTAATTATTTAGAATAAGTAGGATTACATTATTTTTTAGTTTATTAAAAAATGGGGAAAATTGTGTTCATTAAGTGAAATGTATGAGGCTTTCACACACAAATATTTGTTAAAATATTAAATCATATTTTAGTTTACCCAGATTCTTGAATAATATTTAACTGGCTATACAATATTAGGAATTAAAATGTGTTTTGTGTATTTTGAAGATATTATTCCACCATCTTCTGGCTTGCATTATGCTGAAAGACCTGCCAATCTTTTTTCCTTTGTCTTTTTTCTTTGCTTGCAATATCTTCTTTTTACTTTTAGTGTTCCACAGCTTTTCTGTTATATCTCTTTGTATGTGTTTCTTTTTATTTATCATGCTCAGAATTTATAGATTTTTCCTTAACCCGAGGACTCAGTTCTTTAATTAGTATGGGGAAAGTTTCAATCATTATTTTCTCAAACATTGCCTTTTTCCCATTGTCTCTATTCTGGACATTTAGTCATATATTAGACCTTCTCATGCTATGTTTTTAATCTATTAATCTTACTTTTATTTTATCCATCCCTATGCTATAATGTGTGTTATTTTCACATCTATCTTATGATCTGATTTTTTCCTTCAGCCCTGTTCAATTTGCTCGGTAAGCTATCTGTTGCATTTTTTAAATTTCAGTGATCATCTTTGTACTTTCTGGAAATTGTGATTCTTTTTCATAAATCTGCTTTGACTTTTTTTCATAGTAACATGTTATTTGCTCATGTTTTCAACTCTCTTTATTTCACAGTTTTAACATACTTTTACTACATTTATTTCTGATAATCTAAAATCTGAAGTCCTTTAGGACTTTATTCTTTTATTTCTTCTTTTTGCTGGCTCTCATTCATAGTGACTTGTGTTTTTGTTTTGTTTTTAATTGTGAGCTTCTATTTGATCTTTATCTATGGGAACCCAATGTGACTTTTGTTAATGGATGTGCCTTCAAAGATCTGTGGTTTGCTCCACCAAGAAATCTGGGGCACTACTGGTTTGGATTACTTTCAGTTTATTTCTTGGGCAGGGTTTCCAAGAGCAGAAAAAAAGGGTAATTCACTCTCTACGTTCATGTGGTTGGCCTGTGACTTTAAATCTCAGAGGAGATATTTTTTTCTCCTTATCCCACCTGGCCATTAAACTCAGGCCACAAATATTAGCAACTTTCCTCAAGGTAGCTGTGGCATTCATACCTAATTTTAGGTCCTTAACTTTTTACATTTACTTTCTGGACATTTATATATCGTAAAATTCATGCATTTTAAGTGTACATTTTTATTATTTTAGTAAGTTTGCAGAGTTGTGAAATCATCATCACAATTAAAATGTAAAACTTTTTTTCACTCCCTTAAGATCTTCTTCTCTGTTTACAGTTAATCAGTGTTCCTGTTCAACCTCAGGCAACTAATAATACTGTTGCTAAATAATATTCCATTTTATGGCTGTACCATGTTATTTTTATCCTTTCATAAGTTGATGGACACTTGGGTTATTTCTACTTTTTCACTATTATAAATCATGCTGCTATGAACATTCTCATGCAAGTCTTTAATTTGAACACATGTTCACATTTATCTTAGGTAGATACTTAGGAAAAGGATTACTGGGTTGCATCATAAATTTTTTCTTACTTTCTTACTAAGTCAGGTATGTATTTTAAAGAATGTGAATTTTATTTTATCCAGTATTTCCATCTGTGTTGAAGTGGGAACAATTTGTGGCAGGTCTGGAGCACAAGAGTTTTTGAAAGAGAAGTGGTTTTTTTGTTTGTTTTAAATCTATAAGAGAAATTTGCAATTCGAAATTTATGTCATTTGAAAATATTCACTTGCAAGGTAATGATCATATTTTTGCATCTCTTTTTTTTCTTTTTAGTTATTAGAATCATCAAGGCTCTTTAATAGCACAAGAGGAAAAATTTCAATAGAATGTTTAAAGTATTAGCCAATAATTTTTTTTTTTTTTAAGTTCTGGGACATAGGAAACTAACCTTAAGAAACTAAATTTCTGCTGGATATGGTGGCTCACACCTGTAATCCCAGCACTTCGGGAGGCCAAGGTGGGCAGATCACAAGGTCAGGAGATGGAGATCATCCTGGCTAACGTGGTGAAACCCCATTTCTACTAAAAATACATACACACAAAAAATTAGCTGGCTGTGGTAGCATGCACCTGTAGTCCCAGCTACTTGGGAGGCAGAGGCAGGAGAATAGCTTGAACCCAGGAGGTGGAGGTTGCAGTGAATTGAGATTGCACCACTGCACTCCAGTGTGGGTGACAGAGCAAGACTCCATCTCAAAAAAAAAAAAAAAAAGAAACTAAATTTCCTTCTGTATTTTCAGCCAAATAAATATATTTTTAATTTACTCAAATATTTAAGTATAGGGTACTTAAATTCTACCTTTTTATTATGAGAATTAATTTAAAACATTTAAAATGATGAAGCAATTTAATTAGGAATTAATTCCATTTTGCAGATACGGTTTTGACTTACGCTTTTATTAAAAACATAAAAACACTTCCACATACCCTTTTTATTTCTCTGTTTGGGGTTTTTCTTTCCCTAAATTGGTTCAAAACTATTCAGTAGTTGAAGTTGTTTTATATGTGTGTGTGTGTGTGTGTGTGTGTGTGTGTGTATAATTTACATATATAAATTACACAGCTAGCAAAGTCTTCTACCACATGTGAAGAGAATCTTTCTTTTTACCTTTAGGTTGTTTAGGGCTTGGAGGTCAACATTTTAATATTATTAGTTGCTTTGAAGTTTTGTATCTGCAGATCAGTTTAATGAATATGTGCACAGCTATTTTATAATATCCTGTGTACATTGTAAATTAAAGGGAGCACAGGTGTATTTAAATGTTCACCATGTAGGAGCACTTAGGATTCAAGGACTGGTGCTGGATTCTATTTCACTAGTCAAATGCATTAAAATAATAATTTATTGTGCTGTTTCTCTTTTTCTTTTCAATGGAATCATTTTTGCAAGATCTTTTTAAATGGATGTTTTCATTCATGGAAAATTTCAAGAACAGAAGGTTGATTTAAATGCTTTTAACTAATCATTTAACATTAATGCACTGAATCACTGTGGAGATGCTGAAAGCAATTTAAGGTTCTGGTATATGATACTCTCTAGTGAGATTTTATTGTCTTGAGATTCTGGCATATCTATCTTAATACAAAGTTGAAGATAGAGTTTTTATTCAGTGTATGGATTACATTAGTATAGGATGTTATGAAATTTATTTTTCCATCAAGTGTATATATTAAATTTTAGCAGTAATCAGATATCTATTGTCATTTGTAAAATATTGTTATTGCTTCTGAGTGTGCCATCTAAGAAGAGACTTGATTTTCCTTGGTAGAGTCTGAAATGAACAAACAGAAAAGGTGATTAACATGCAGCTCTAAATAGAATTGTTTTTTTATAGTACTGCTGCAAGGAACCTGTCTTCATCTTCTCCCTGCATACTTTTCATTACCAAGTGTACCCACATCTTTCTATTTTCACCCTAGCCTGGTGAAGCCTTAGCAGCATGTGTATAAGAAACGTCTGGTTAGACCAGAAGTCAGCTCATCTTCAGAGCTGCCAGGGTGAAGTTGTTACTGATATTATTGTTTGCATATGCATACACACAATAATAAAAACAAAGCAGTTTTCATTTATACAGCTTACTAGACACAACAAATCTAGAAGGGAGGAGGCATTATCCTAATTTTACAGATAAGAAAACAGGAATCCAGGAAAGTTAAGGAAATTGCCCAAGATTACACAGCTGGAAGTAAAACTCATTCACATAACCTCTATTCCCAGGCTATTCTGACTTTTGGTTTGGGAGGATTTTCTAGTTTCTATCCACCTTGTGTAGCCTTTCATTATCTCCTTTTACTGGTTCTTAATTGGTATGCCCATTTGTTTCTTTGCCTTGACTGTGGTATACCAATGCATCTCTACTTCAGAATGTTGAACAGATCACACTTAAGCACCAAAGACCATGTGTATTCACTTATCCATTCATTCAATCAACCAGGAAGTGTTTGTTGAGTATTTATCATGCGTAAAGACCTCTATATTTGGGAGAGCATAAAGATAGAGATAGATGCTTCCTTTTGCTTATAGTCTCTTTGAGAGCAAGGTCTGAGTTGTATTTGTGTGTGTTTGTGTGTGTGTGTGTGTGTGTGTGTGTGTGCATGTGTTATTTAGAAATACGAGAATGAAGGGAAGAATTGCAAGAAGCAGCTAAAAGTTGAAAGTAGCTGGCTTAGGGAAGTGTGATTTGGGTATATGGGGGCATACAGCATGAGACTGCTAATTATAGTTCACTTTAAAAATGTGTGTGTCTGTGTGGTGTGTATGTGTGTTTCTGACAAAAGTAAAAACAAAAATAAATTTCAAAAAAGTATCCCACACTTTAGTAGAATGGCAGAGACATAGGGACAATGTTAGATATTTCCAAAACGTAAGAGTCTTGCATGACCAGTGCCTAAGATATGGAGGGTAAAAGGTATAATTCTCTCAATCAACAAATATTTGTCAGAGACCTAGTACTTGCCTATCCCTGTGCTAGATACTATGGACACAAAGATAAAATATCATTATTCTTATCTTCATCCTACTCGCTCTATCTCAAACTAATCTTGGGGGCTGTAGGCCTATATAATATAATATGACAAGTGGGCTATATGATGATATGCATCTACCAGATACCTGGAAAGTATAGACAAGGTCCTCCCAAGTCACCTGGGGCTGGCACTGACAGCAAGGAGAGATCACCAACAGACATGGAGGGAGACAGGGACAGGAGTGCTACTCAAGCTTGGCCTGATTGGGAAGGGTATTCGCCTTCAGTATTTAGACTTTATGGTAGAAAAAATTATCTGAGATAAGAGTGGGAAAGGAGTTTGGAGTAAGGTGTTGTCAACCTTTAACTCTGAGTTTAGACTCTGTTAGGAGTTATTGGAGATGTTTGAAGAGGCAAGTGTCAAGTCAAATTTAATCTTGCAATGATAGAACTTTAGCAATGGTGTGGAGGATGGGTTGCACAGAGAAGAGCTTCATGAAGAAACAAAGAGTAAGGAAGATATTTGAGTACTTGAGGATGACAAATTTCAGGTTTTTCAGGATTTTGCTTTTGACTCTCTGACCTCAAAAGTTTTATGTACATGTATGTTGAAATCTAGTATTCTAGTGATACCATATCAATATCACTATGTATACTTAGAATTTATATTTATGTATTAGAAATTTATTCAGAATATGTATATTTAGAATTAAGTTATTTAAATACTATCTCTGTAGATTATAAAATTAATGGCCAAAATATTTCAGGTAGCACTGTAACTTGCTAAATACCTATTGTTTAATGTCACATGAACATCTGTGACTCAAAAAACAGTTTGCAAATGGAATTCTTAATGAAGTTTAACCCTTCTTGTTTGAGTTGAAGAAAGTAATTGTTATGTATTGTCACTTGCCTAAAATGTCTTTGATTCTTATTGTTGGCCAACACTACCCAGTGGAAATTTAATGAAAGTCACAAATGTGAGCTACATCTGTAATTTAAAATGTTCTAGTAGCCACATTGAAAACAGTGAAAAGAGACTGGTGAAATGTATTGTAATAATATACTTTATATAATACAATGAAATCAAAGTATTATTATTCCAGAATGCAATCAATTAAAAAATACTAATGAAATGTTTCACATTCTTTACTTGTAACAAGTCTTTGAAATCGGTTATATATTTCACATCTATAGCACATCTCAACTTGGGCTGTGTTTCCAATGCTCAGTAGCCATGTGTGTCTTTGGACAGGGTAGCTCTAGAATAACCTTCTGTAGTGTTAAAACCCCACTTCAGGGCTGGGCATAGTGGCTCATGCCTGTAATCCCAGCACTTGTGGAGGCCAAGGCGGGCAGATCACGAGGTCAGGAGTTCAAGACCAGCCTGATCAACATGGTAAAACCCCATCTCTACTAAAAAATACATAAAAATTAGCTGGGCGTGGTGATGCACGCCTGTAATTTCAGCTGCTCCAGAGACTGAGGCAGGAGAATTGCCTGAACCTGGGAGACGGAGGTTGCAGTAAGCCATGATTGTGCCATTGCACTCCAGCTTAGGCGACAGAGTGAGACTTCGTCTCAAAAACAAAACAAAACAAAAACTGTCCACTTCAGGATTCATTCTAAATTTATTGAAACGATAGAAAATGGCTGTCAGTGTGGACTTTAGTTTCTTTCTTTGTGGCAGATATGCAAGCAGTCACTGAACATGGATTTTATTTTGTTTATTGTCTTAGTGACTCAGGGTGTTGATTTATCCATCTAGTTAACAGACCTTAAGTTCACCTCCTATCTCATTCTTTTGAGGCTTTTCCTTTCTTTTTATAATCACATCCTTTTGTTCTCAGTCTTAGTCGCATTTATAAATAAAGCAGACTGTTCATCTGACATCTTGGAAGGCAGACAGGAACATCAGACAGAGAAAGAAAAAGGAAACTATCTCCTTCATAACTGCTTGCCCTCTTGTAATGAAACCTGTATTATTTGATATGATAATGAATTCTTGAAATTGTTTTCAAGATGCCATCTCCTTAACACTCTTGGGTAATGAATAGTGAGAAGCACTGTTCCCTCATTACGATGCTTGGAGGGGTCTTGAACACCAATGTGGAGTAGAGCCACTGTAGAGAACATACATCTGAATTGTGGACTTTGCTGTATGACAAACTCCTGCAAATGATGACATGTTACAGAATATCAGAGTTCAGCATTTCAATTTTACTTATAAGTTAGGATGGAGCAGAGAGACCAGTTCTAAGTATTTTGTTAGCAATTTACCATACATTGGATCCCTTAGTCTTCACAGTTATCAACCTTCAATATCTGTATTATTAGTATTATACTGGTAAAGAAATATGCCCAGAGTATTTGCCTGTATTGCTTAAGGATACAATGTCAATAGTAGAAACAGGATTTAAAACCAGATCCCACTGACCCTAAACCTTCTGCTACAATATATTGCCTGCTTAGATAAAAATCTTTCATCTCTGAATACTCCATGCTATAAGTTTTCAGTGGGGCGTGGTGCAAAGGGACCAGGAGACGGTTTCCAGTCTCAACCCTGATATTAACTGGTTATAAGAACATGTGCATATTCCTCAAATTCTCTCTAATATTTTACATCTGTATCTGTCACAATGTGCTGAGTAGTGATGTTAAAAATTCAACTCGTTTTTCCAGGAGAGGTACCATGATGAAATCAAATTCTCCCTGTCCTCCAAAATTACCGTCTGCTTAAAGAAGGTGGAGGTTTCAATGCTTTGGAGTCAAGCAGGCCTAACTTTAAAACCCAGCCTTGTGTCTTAGTATCTGTGTGACAACAAGCACATTATTTAGTCTCTCTGGATCGCAATTTCTTCACTGTAAATTGAACTGTGTAAAGAATCAATGAGAAAATATAGTAGATATATTTTATTCCTTTAGAGTTTTACTTGTAAAACATTTCTTATGTAAAAGTTAAATTATTAGTGTTGGGTGATCACATTGGCTCATACCTGTAATTCCAGCACTTTAGGAGCCCAAGTGGGCAGATCATCTGAGGTCAGGAGTTCTAGACTAGCCTGGCAAAACTGTCTCTACTAAAAATATAAAAATTAGCCAGGCATGGTGACACACACCTGTGGTCTTAGCTACTCAGGAGGCTGAGACATGAGAGTCACTTGAAACCAGGAGGTGGAGGTTGCAGTGAGTTGAGATCTTGCCGCTGTACTCCAGCCTGGGTAACAAGGAAACTGTCTCAAAAAAAAAAATAGTGTCACAGGAATTCAGAGAAAGACAAAGACAATTTAAGAGCTGGAGTGTTATCAGGGAAGATTTCAGAAAACAAATGAAAATTTAGGCTGCTAGAGAAAGAAAGGAAGGACTTGGATAGGAAAACTCAGCAAGGCAGAGAGATATTATATGAAACAAAGGGAAAAAATCAGGCATGGCATATGTTAGGAAATTTGACATTTGTCATGCTTTTTGAGCATTTATATATGATCAAGTTGCTGAGTTTTTAGTCATAAGCTAACCATAAAATTAAGTAGCTGCTTCTGCCTGAACATATAACTGTTGCTTAAAAAAAATAAAAAGAATACATCTGTTGAGGTGGATTGTCTTTTATAGACTCAGCTACTGCACTGTGCTTCATCAACTGGAGATTCTGATATTTTGGGTTGCTTCATTGTCTCACTTTTCCATGTCTGTATTTTTCCATTTTTCTTATTTGATGTCCTGAACTTTCACCTTCTTTTAGAATAACAGCTTTGTGTTTTGTATGAGGTTTCAGAGAACTAATTTAAATGCTCATTGATTTTATACTA